AAATTCGGGGGGAGCATGCCCCCGGACTCCCCTAGCATGGCGATGTTCTACGGTCCTCGCATTGCTCGCTCCTCTGTTTGCTAATTTCAATTTCAGCTGAAAATTAAATTCTCCAATCTCATCCCTGTATATAGTAATAAATATAATAATGTAATGTAATATTATGTAACATAACGTAATGTAGCACTGCAGCGTAGCACAATATAATAACGACGCGACGCGACACGACACGACACGGCACGGCACGACACGGCACAGCACAACACAGCACATCACTACATAATATAGTATAATAAGGTCCTATTCTAAAAGCTATATACCATTAAGAAAGAAAACTTTAGAGGGTAGTAAACTGTTACAGCTGTAACGTTGACTACCCACCAACTCTGCTGGCTTCTGAAAGACGCACTCACGTTCCTTTTCAGCGTCTAAATCTCGGCGATTGCTCCAAGGTCCACGACCTTGCTCTGAAGGCTGACTACGAGATGGCTTCGAAAAGCAAGGACCTCTTCTACGACCTCGACGTAAGTTGGCCTCGTTGTCGTAGCAACGCGATGTTAAGACTAATGTTTTGAATGTTTTTAAGACTAATTTTGTTTCTGACAACGAAGCCCCTGGTCATGTTAATTAATGTTATGACTAATATCAAGATTAAAACTATAAATATTTTTAAGACCAATTATGTTTCTAACAACGGGGGCACCCTTGGCTCGGTGATGTTGGTTTGATGATTCGGTGGCTTTTCGTACCGCAGGCACTCGAACAGTTACAGACGTTTATCACCGACGCCGACAAGCAGACGGAGGTTGCCAAGCAGAAGCTCGCCGAAACACAAGAACAGCTGAGCGAAGAGGCGACAGGAATGGTGAGCTATTTAGCAGCGAGTCAGTTTTCGGTCGTTCGTGGCGGCCATTTTTTTTCCGAGTTAGCGTGTCCGATTTTGCATCCAGGAGAATTATTCGCATCTTATCTAGAAGATCTAGAAGTGCATTGCGAGTTAGCGTTGCTCTACCGCTGGCGCGTTTATTTGTCGTGGCGTCGTCGCGTAAAGTAACCGCGTCCGTAACTTTTCCGCAGCTGGACAAGGTTCACGAGTTTGCGGAGAGCATCGGGAAGACGCTGGCGAAGGCGGAACAGCTGGGCGCGAACGGCAACGTAGCGGAGTCGCTCAAGCTGATGGAAGAAGTCGCGAGTCTGAAGAAGGCAAAGTACGAGAAGGAGGTAGGGATCGGCGCGTGTGCGCACACGTATCGTAAATCGGAATGTACATTTCAATCGATGACGTAACTGATACAGTAGCGCGCCGCGTGGTTGTTATTTGTTTATAAACAATTTAGTCTGACTGACTCTCTCCCTATCTCTCCTCTCTCTCGCCCCCTCTCTCTCTCTTCCTCTCTCTCGCTCTCTCTGCAATAAAAAAAATGTTTGCTGAAATGATGTGTAGCCCTACGCAACTGCGTATCTGCATATCTGCACCTAACATAGGTGTCACTACGCACGACTTAAATGTTACGTTTATAACCATAGCAACAGACCTCAGATGAGCCCAGATGCTCTGCGGCTCGTTTTATTTATTTTTTATTTATTTTTCGCTTGCTGCATCTGGTGCACAGGAACATGGCCTAACAACGCGGCAGGACGTGGCGTGTTAATTTGATTTATTATTAAAGATTATTATAGATTATGTATATTATATGTATTATTTATTATTCCTTTTTTATTCTCGCGCTCGCTCTGGCCGCAGCTTGAGTACAGGAACACGACCTAACAACGCGACAGAGTTAATTATATTTATTATTTATTCTTCTTTTTTTGTTCTCGCGCTCGCTCTGGCGGCAGCTTGAGTACCGGAACACGATCCCGGCGTCGACATACCAGCAGCAGAAGCTGCGAGTGTGCGAGGTGTGCTGTGCCTACCTGGGCATCTACGACAACGATCGTCGGCTAGCCGACCACTTTGGCGGCAAGCTGCATCTCGGCTTCATCACGATCCGTGAGAAGCTGACGGAGATGAAGGTGAGGAGGAGGGTGCAGGGGGAGGGGGCAGGGGGAGGAGGGTCAGGAGAACTTAGAGAGGGGAGGAAGGGAGTGGGAGAGAGATGGCAGGGACGGATGGGAGAGAGATAGGAGGGAGGGAGGGGAGAGAGGGGATAGAGGGAGTGAGAGAACGCAGAGGAGGGAAAAGGAGAAGAGATAGAGTGAGAGGGAGGAAGGGAGGGAGATAGGAGGATCAGGGGGACGAGGTCAGATCACGTTGAAGTGACTGCAAGACCTCTTCTTTGTCCCCGGATCACGGCAATGCCAAACACTCGCTCAGCGTCGCTCATTCGCGTAATCATGGCTTCTTTCTCTTTCCTCATCCCCTTGAAGAAACTCGTGGAGGAGAACCAGGTCGTGAGGCAGGAGCAGCGGGAGCAGCGGTGGGCCGACAGGGAGAAGGAGCGCGAGAAGGAGAGAGAGGAACGGGAGGAGCGTGAACGTAAGAGGTGAGTCGTTGTTGTCGTCGTCGCGAGACGAAATATTCCTCGGGGCTCCGATTCGACGAGAATGATTTCGTGACGGTCTCCCCGGGAAAGTTCCTGCCGCGAATGACCCGATGGATTTTTATCGTAGGACTGCTTTTAGTGCTCTGAAAGTCAGTCGGATTTCGTACAGAAAATTAATTATATTCATGCTTTACGTGCTTGCCATTCACGCCCCTTCTATCGCTGATGAATACTTGCATGAGTACAATGGCATACGAAATGCAGACGCGACTTTGCAACGGTAGAGCGAACATGCGTGCGTGTGAAGCAGGGATTCGTTTCGTCTCGCAGAACTCCGAGTCCGCAGCCGGCCAAGTCGCGCAGCCGATCGCCGTCAGCGGAACACCGGCGCCACAAGACGAGGTCACGTTCGCGCAGTCGCAGGACGCGATCGAGGTAAGGTGGGACGTGCGTGGGGTGCGGGCGTGCGTGAGGTATGCGGGCACACGTGAGGCGTGCAGGCGGGCGGGCGGGCGTGGATGCATGCACGTCTCGGTTCGAGCGTGCCTTCAGTGGCAATTTTTTTGACGAGTTTTGTAGGGTGTTGGATTCGCAAAAACGTCGCGTAGAAAATCGAGAGTGACGCGCGATCCGAGTCGTGAACAATTATGATAAAGTAAAAAAATGCAAAAAATAAAATAAAGTTTGCACACTGTCTCCCTCCGTGATATTATAGTAGCTCAGTCGCGCGGTCAACAAACTCGCGCGTAAAACCTTGATTTGACAACCCGACGCTCCTTCGCAAACAGGTCACGCGATCGTCGCCGTCGCTCAAGGTCGAGGTCGCACGAGCGCCGTCGAAGGTCAAGGTCGCCTGAGCGCCGTCGAAGGTCAAGGTCGCCTGAGCGCCGTCGAAGGTCAAGGTCGCGATCGCGCCACCGGAGGTCGAGGTCGCCCCGTCGCCGAAGGTCAAGGTCGCGGGGTCGCAGCCGCGACGTGTAGGTGAGGAGTCGGAGGTCAAGATCGCATCGCCGACGCTCAAGGTCGCGGTTGCCACGTCGGAGGTCACGTTCGAGGTCGCGCCGCCGGAGGTCGAGGTCGCGGGATCGCCGAAGGTCAAGGTCGCGATCGCGCCACCGGAGGTCGAGGTCGCCCCGCCGCCGAAGGTCAAGGTCGCGGGGTCGCCGCCGCGACGTGCAGATGAGGAGTCGGAGGTCAAGATCGCATCGCCGAC